AGTGAAAGCACATGCAGACTAGAAGCATATCTAGGAAATAACATTCCAGTGTTGGGAAAAGTGTGAAGGTTGACACAGAGCTTAGGATCAGAACACTGTCTCTAGTAGTGGTGGACAGGAATGGCTTATCATTGTTAGGAAGAAACTGGTTGAAGTACATGGAACCTTGGAAAGGTGTTCTCTCAACACACAACATCAAATCTTCAGATATGGGCCAAGACAGTATCGGTCAACTATTCACAGAATTCCGGAAGTGTTTGACGAAGGTCTAGGACATCTCAAGGAATGCACAGTGACATTATATGTCAGAGCAGACTCCCATCCAGTATTCTGCAAAGCTTGCACAGTACCACTTGCGCTGAAAGAAAAGGTGAAGGAAGAAATTGATAGAATGGAAGAGGAAGATATTATTGAGAGAGTCACAATGGGCTATTCCAGTTGTTCTGGTCCTGAAGTCATCACAAAACAACTCTCAGCAGGTTTCTACAAGTAGAGACTTACCCAATTCCCAAAGTGGTAGAGCTGTTAGCCAATTTGAATGGAGGTGAGGAATTCACCAAATTGGACTTGAAACATGCTTATCAGCAGTTGGAACTTCATGAGAAGTCAAGAAAATTGACTACTATCAACACTTCCAAAGGGCTTTATCAGTTCAAACGCTTACTATATAGTGTGAGCAAAGCACCAGCACTCTTCCAGCGAACAATTGAGATGGTTCTCAAGGGGCTGAAAGGAGAGGTCATGTTCATGGATGACATATGTGTTACTGGCCACAACAAGCGACAACATATGTCCAACCTGAAGGCAGTACTAGGAGTACTACAAAAGCAGGACTTAAACTGAGACAGGTCAAGTGCAAGTTTTTCCTGAAATAGGTGGAGTTCCTTGGTTTCAATGTGGATGAGGAAGGAATACATCCAACCGAAAAAAAAGTCAGTGCAATCCAACAAGCACCAGAACCCAAGAATGTGTCTGAACTCAGGTCATATCTGGGAATGCTGAATCACTCTGTAAAGTTCATGCCAAACCTTGCAAGTACAGTGGCATCACTGTATGATCTTCTGAAGAAGAACAAGGACTGGTACTGGTCAAAGAAGGAACAAGAATCATTCCAGGAATCAAAAGAGTTCTTAATCAACAATACCTTCCTGTACCTACAGTTTGGATAAACCTTTGGTACTATCCTGTGATGCTTCACCATACAGAGTTGGAGCCGTGCTGTAGCACCTGTGGCATACGCTTCTCAAAAACTGACCAGCACAGAACAAAATTACTAACAGTTGGAAAAAGAAGGACTTGCAATTGTCTTTGGAGTGTCAAAGTTCAGACAATACCTGCTGGGACATCATTTCACACTGGTGACAGATCATCGTCCATTACTGAGATTGTTCTCGCCTTCAAAGGAAACTCAAGTGATGGCTGCATCACGCATCAAAAGATGGGAACTGAGACTTGAAACCATATTTCCAGAGAAGATTAGAACTGAGTGTGTAGCAAGGTGTTGTCTTATGGGGCACAAGATTAGTTATCCCAAGTCACTTCAGAGAGGCACTGTTGGAAGAGCAGCATGGTGAACATTCAGAAATGGTAAGAATGAAGTCGGTGGCTAGATCAATCATATGGTGGCCAGGACTAGACAGTCAGATTGAGGTAAAGGTGAGACAATGTCTTGAGTGCCAAGAGATAGCAAATCAACCTGCTGCAGTTCTGCCGACAAGTTGGAAGTGGCCATTATCACCATGGTCACGACTTTATATCGACTTTGCGGGACCATTTCAAGGACACTCCTTCTTAGTCGTGGTGGATGCACACTCCAAATGGATGGAAGTTATTCCATTACCATCAACTGCAGCAACAGTCACCATCAAACATCTCAGAAGACTCTTCTCAACATTTGGTCTGCCAGGGCACATTGTGTCGGACAATGGGGCACAGTTTACCTCTGAAGAATTCCAGACATTCTTGAGGAGGAACAACATTCGCCACACTAGGACAGTGCCAAAACATCCAGCTACTAATGGACAAGCCGAAAGAGCAGTGGAATCTTTCAAGATGGCACTAAAGAAAATGAAAAACCAAACAGGTGATTTTTCTGACAAACTGCAGAGGTACTTATTCTCATACAGAACAACTGTCCATGCTGCAACAGGGAAGACCCCAGCTGAGTTGCTGATGACACGCTCATTACAAACACGGTTATCAGTGTTAAGACCGACACGAGAAGGATTGATGATCAAGAATGATGATGCAGAAACTGAAGTGCCAATTTGGGACAAGCTGTCTTTGTTTTGAAATTTGGAGTTTAAGGTTCAAGATGGGTACAGGGGACAGTTTTGGGACAGTTTTGGAACAACTGGGCGATAGGAATTATCACGTCTCTGTCGGACAACAGGTGTGGATGTGACATGTTGACCAGATGAGACCATGTCTGGAAGTTTCACAACAATCAGTACAAGGTAGCCCGAAGTCACTGGAGATGCCAGTGTTTCTGGGATCAGCAGAAAGCACCGTGATGGCACAGCAACCATGCGTTCTTATAGGATCTAAGTGGAAGTTGAAGTCAACCAGAAGCAGGTGTCGGATGCAGAAGAACTAAAGGAGAGACGTTACCCTACCCAAGATCGACGTCCTCCAGTTCGAAATATGAGTGTGAGAAGTGAAAAGACTGTAAATGTGATCTCAGTGTTATCAGTAAATATGAAGTGCCCAAATTAGGCTATTTTCCTTTCAAAGTAAGAATTTGCAGCTTTAAGTTTACTGCTAATGACTTTAATTTGTTCAAATGGAAGAGTTTGCTTCTAGTCAGTTTTCAAAGTTGCAGTTATGTTTTGTAGGAGCAACCAGTCAGTTTTCAGCGGTGAAAACTTAGGGGGAATGGTTTAGTGTATGGACATGTATGGTAGATACATACATGGGGGACAACTCCTGCAGCCTTATGTGACGGTAGCGGCAAGCTGATTAGAGTTATGTCTCTTGGGGATCCCTGCTTGTAACCCCCACTTCCTGAGTAAACGCTCAACGTAGAAGTCATGGTTTATTGTGTTCTGTTCGACCACGGTTCAAATACACAACACGTTCGACATTGTTAACCGAAATAAATTCCTTTATCTTCTTTTAAGAAATGGTATTCATGGAAAAATATTTAATGTTCTTCAACTTTAATATGACGTGAAGTCTGCTGTAGTTGTTGCCGAAGGGAGAAAACTATCTGATTATTTCGATTGTTCCAAAGGTTTTAGACAAGGATGTCCACTTAGTCCCTTGTTGTTCTCCATATTTATCAAAGCATGGACCAGGCCCTTCATTAATTAGGGGTGACCAGCATGGGCCAATTAATTAGTCTGCTATTTTTATATGCATTTTGGGAGGTCTGTGTTTTGGGAAGTCTGTGTTATGGGAGTAAACAGTGTGGAGGCTAAGAAAAAACAAAGAGCATGGGCCATAAAGCCAATAAACAGGAGAGATTAAGTAGTAAGAACAAGCTGATAGTGTCCTAATTAATAGTCTATAGCTTGATTAACTCTTCTCAGGTCGATGGTATGTAATGCCCTTGATCTCTGTTGATCCAAGGTTTGTGGGATCAGATTTTGATGGCAACGAAGCATTTTCTCTCCACGAAGACCTGATTTTTGGTGGTCAGGATTTCAACTTTGTCAACTGCCTCAGTAGTCTACTGATTTGATCAGAGTCAGTAGTCTGCTGATTTGATGAGAGGTCTTACCAATGTAGGGAAGGTTAATTCTGATGGGGGTGGAGTTAGGCGTGGTTAGTTTGGATTTGGGCTGGATGTGGATGAAATGATCCTCTTGGTACTGGTTGAAGTTCCACATCTCCAATCCATCCTGTTTGCTGGCATTATGAAGGTAGATGATACTCTTGTCATCATCAGAAAAGGCCATGAACTCACCTCACTACTCCAGCACCACAACACTCGAAATCCCCAAATCAAGTTAACTATGGAGACAGAGAATAATATACTACCCATCAAAAGTTTAGATCACTACCCATCAAAAGTTTAGTGTAAATGTAGCCACTTACTTCGGTCAACTGTTCTAAACTAGATTTTGCAAACTATTCCATACTGTTTAAAGGTACTGTTAACACATGAACTGATGCATTGTAAAATTAATTCGTAACGTTAAAAAGATTATTGTCATGAGTTCAATAAATGATGAAACTCATAAATGCATAACAAAACATTACACCAAAACGCAGCTGTCACATGCACGATATTTGCACATGCTTTTTAGCAATTGGATGCATGATCCTCGTGCAATTCATCTGCATAAGGTTTGCAGTTGGTTCCCCCAAGTTAGTGGAGAAATTCATCTTCGATGTAACCATACATACATGCATAACATATAGTGAGTGTTATGCATGTATGTATGGTTACATCGAAGATAGCAGACTAATTAATATAGTGAGTGCTGTAAGTGAGTCTAAACTTTTGATGGGTAGTATATAACTACCCTTCCTACATGTCCTTGTATTCAGTGACCAAGTCTGGTGTCATCTCAACCCTGACCAAGTCCGACAAAACATGTTGCTCCAGAAGCCATGACCTGGAACACAAACTGAATCCCCTGCAGAATGTCTTCACCAACTTCAACCAATACCCCACGAAGTTAGTCACGAGGACACAAAACAACATTCAGATTTTTCCCTGCTCCAACTGAATAAATGTAAAGACAAGAGTCAACCAAACCACCATAATGAGCCATAATCCCTGACATCTCATTTGAACCCTCATTTCTTCCATGGACAGCAGATGTCTGGACTCCCAAAGTGACACAATTGGTACTGACTGCAGATGCCCAAGACTTTTGACATGCCATGTGTAGCTCAACAACTTTGATGCATCAGTTGAATACATCCGATATAACGAACCTATGCATTTGCATTATACTGGTCAAAAGTAAGGAAATGGCCTACCATCATATTGAACTTCAATCATATTACTAATGACATGACCAGAGACAAATTAAAATGTTTGTACACACCTCAAATAGAACTCGTGGTGATTTCAGCTTGTGATCCTTCCTAGGTTTTGCAACTTGCACACGTTGGTCAACAAGTGGAGTGACGTATGTATTTACTTGTGGCAGTGGTATCCAGGAAACAGACCTTCGATGAAAAACAGAAATTTATATCAAAACATTAAAGTCACAAAGTAAAAAGGAAGTAAATCAAACGTTCATAAATCTATTCAAAGAAACTTCCTGAAAATTCTATATATTTGTGAAATTAACATATTTTCTCACTTACCCTTTATTAATATTTTAAATCCTTTACAAATTTGCATTTTAATTCAGTAGTTTAAAACATTAATGAAATGATATGTGTAAAATGGGCCCTACTAACACATTGATAAACAATTTTATCTTTACTAATTATTGCTGTATCTCAATTGTACAATGTAAAGAATTTTAACAGTTAAATTCTGTTCTTGTCTTTATCTGACTGTTGTTGTCATTCCTGTTTTATAGATACAATAACTTTAAACTAAACACATTTAGTACTGAAACATCAAATGCAATTAATAATGTACAAAGTGACAGATGTTAGAGTATATGAAAAGTTTTTGTGACAGATTCAGAATAAAGCATAACACTTTTCTGCATGCATAATTTAACACACTGACTGTTATTTTCTCTGATATTTAGATGAAATATTGTATGCATTTCACAAAAGGTTGAGGTGAATGAGTAATATGGCTGGCCAACATAACATAACTGGGTCAATTTACCGAAATCCATGGTAAACATGTAAACATTTAAGTTAGGATAAACATCAGTCCAGAAGCAATGCCTACAGAATTGGATCCCATGAAGTCTATGAATGCTCCTATTTGTTGTATGAATTCACAGAGGCAAACATTACTGTTATATGGATTTTTTTCATTGGTAATCTTGTCTTCTAGTGGCATTTAGAAGTTGTACATTGATGTCCAAGATATTTTTATGGATTAAACTTCTTTTTTAATTTCTCTCACGACGTTTCGAGACCATTCCAGGTCCCTTCATCAGGTGAACTGGCAGTTAGGACTATGACGTCGTCACTATGACGTCATAACTGAGTTATGACGTCACAATGCAAGTGACATCACAGTACACTAGGGAGAGTACTGTATAAGTGAGTGTGAAGAGTTAATTACATAATGATGAAAATTCATGCTAAATAATAGAGTTGAAAGTTGCATTGTCAATACACAACAACTGCTAATTACACAAAAGTTACTTGATAGCAGGCTTTCCAAAAAGAATAGTAGACTCGTTTTTCTTTTATCTAAAGTTAATCAAGAGGTCCCACGCACTTGGCAGGTATACACCTTGATCATGAGTCATTGCTGGTTTATGTCTCCTTATCTCCATAGATAACAACGGCTGGCGTCGGAGAAAACTACAGGAGGCTGTGGAGATAAGGAGACACAAACCAGCAATGAATCGTGGTACAGTCATGCTTTGATGTTAACTCTCCTTTGATCTATAGGTATATCTTGGTGTGTTAGAACTGGTTGTGCTTAAAGCATTTGCAAGATTTCTCTCATGATAAAGCACTTTTTAAAATTTCATCCCTTTGTGATAACAGTAGGCTGCATATAATACATTGGCTGTACATAAACATCACAACAACCTTGTCTGATCAGTTTAACTTCTATTGCATAATACGAGTAAACTGTAAGAGGCTCCTCCCTCCAGGGAGAGTGGGTGTTCATTAAAATAGCAAGTCATTTTCCAAGTGTAGGATATGATCTCAATAAGACTTGTTTTGCTGATTTGACAACTGCCCTTAACTCTGACCACCTTTCTTCTGACCCGGTTAGTTTCTTATCCTTTTCTTGAATAGCTTCATGCAAGAGTCTTATTTCTTATCAAGTTTGTCAAATCTTTGCTCTAATAGTTCTTGCCCATCATTTACAACTTGCTTTAGTTGAACGATATGGCACCAATGATATGGAGTCATTTTGCTCACCATGCGTAGTAGAAGTGGTGGATGATGACATGGTGTCGGAGATCTCGGACGTGGTGGCATGCTTAAAAGAGTTATGCAGGTGATGAAATGTAATTATATGAATTATCTAGATCATTCCCTGGATATTCTAGTATTCAATTACCTAAAGGGAAGGATCATACTCGTGAGGGAGAAATATTTGGTGTTTGGAGAAGACTGACGTCACTTCCTGTCAAAGACCTCATAGGTGGTTCTGTAATAGTCTATTTGACCGATTTTCATTTAAACCAGTTTCTGTGACGTCACTTCCTGTTTGATGACGTCACTTCCTGTTAATAACGTCACTTTGTTCATGACGTCACTTCCGGTTCATGACGTCACTTCCGGTTCATGATTTCAAGTCTTCTCAGATTATTTAACTGGAGTAATAAACTGCAGCAGATATAATAATTCCACTTGCTGGTGATAAATATTAATAGATAAGGTTCTTCAAAGATCCTCATCCTTCCGTTTACTGTTAATCTGTTTCTTCCCTCACAGTCCAAAACAGTGAACCACTGCTGAGTCTGAAAATATCAGCAACCCCCCCTTCCCCTCTTTTTCCCCCTCAAGGGAAAAAACAGGTGGAGGAGAGGCGCTGTCGGTAGGCTCTCTAAGGATGGAATGACGTTTCGCAAAGGTAAATTGGTGTAGGGATTAGATATTTTCCACCGGCATGCAGCAACAATCTGATCTATGGAAAAGGACCCCCAAGCTGCAAGTGACGACATCCAGGCCCTGGTCTCATGCAGGGAAAACTATTGTTCACTAAGTTGGGGTCACAGTCCTGGTAAACAGAAGTGATGGTCCTCCTAAGCCAAGACGATATAATATGCAATCAAGATCTCCAAATCAACAATTTTCTTGCATGAGATAAAAAAGACAGCGGCAAATACGTCTGATATAGAGAGTACGCCGGACATATCATCTCAGAGCTCGAATAGGTCATAGGACTCTAGTTCAGTCTGATCTAGAGGCAGATGTAGAGAATACTTGAATCTGGGATACTCTGTGGATGAGAGACCACTAGCAGATGCCCCATTCTTGGCAAGAAAAATCTGGTAAAGTGCTACATGACAGCCATCCATAGCCTCCTGGAAAGGGGATTGGCTAAAGTCTATGGCAAAAAATTCGGGTATTCTGGAACTGGAAGCTGTATCAATGACAAGGAGAAACCCCACCTGTTAAGGAAAAGAAATGTCAAGGAATTTCCTACATAGGTTTGGAAGACTTCTGGAGGGACTACAGAATGAGACATAAAGCCAACGTGGGGAAAATTGTAGGACTAGGAGCTGAATAAATAAGAATAAATAAAGAATTAAATTCGTAACTGGAATGATCTAATCGGCTTGTAGATCGAGCTGTAAGAACCACTGCTAGTCCTTGTATATCATAAACAGAAACGATTGCTGATCTGTAGTCCACCATAGGACTGTTTCAGTGTCTTAAGGTCACGAAGATAAAGATAGAAATCCGCTAAGAAATCTGAATTCCCCTCAACATAAAAAATGGAGGATCGATATCAGAACAATGAAAAATATCCCGAGATTGGTGAAACAATTTCCTCATTGGATTGTTCTCGAAGTTCTTCTCCAGTCAAGAGGCGAGATGGTACTAGTGCTGCCGAATAGTCTAACACAAACACTCAAGTGTGATTGGCATCAGAAAACTGCCTGAAAAACGACATCCAAAGAGGAGTGGGCAAGCATCTTTCGTGGGCTGACATGACCACCACGGTAACTTGATTAATTGCCAAATAATCCTCAAAACCTGGGTGAGGAAGCTACCTGATACCCAAGACAAGGCAACCGCCGTATGAAAAGATATCGATTTAGTATGCATGGGCTAAAACCTAAAAACTCCCTTGGACTAGGAGGAACGGGATTTAAATGTGAACGAAAGTTTGGGATAATTCGAGAGCAGATGTGAGAAATCTTTATCAATTGGAAGCACTGGCAAGGAAAAAACAAGCCCATCTTAACAAGGTTGACATGGGCTTGTCTATCCAAACCCCTAGCCGAGGATGCTAAGCCTTCGTATTTACAAGATTGTGACTGAATTGTCCAGCCACGTTGTACAGTGAACGCAGACACGAGATCACAGAATAATGTCCCACATGGTGCATAAAATTCTTACAGCGCATCTCCAATGGCGCGTGATATGGCTAAAGAAACGTACCTTCAAAGAAAAGGACATACTAATCAAAGCACCGTTGATTAAACCCATGATTAAACTCATGTCCGCCCGTAACACTCTACAACCTAACAACACAATGTTTACGGCGGCCATTTACAATGTATGAGCTCTCGGCCAATCAGCATCATTCAGTCCGCAGTAAATACTATTTATCAGCCAATGAAATAATTCGTTATATTGTAGCTTACACAAGGTCTAAGCTGGTTCCCAAGCTGGTTCCCGGCTCCCGTTGCGCTTGCGAGCTTGCGCCACATTGCGTATATTGGTATAAGCGAGACAGGGCCCAGCTAAACACAAGGTCGCAAAGCATGGCAGAAGTAGGTAGACCAACGGAAGATGCCATGAGCGTGTTTAGGGAGATGATGAAAAAGTAAACGAACCTAATGGTATATCGCCCGTGCCTCCCGTGGAGTGCTCAGCTGACAGTGCATTCTGGCAAGAAAACGTCATCCCTGTGATCTGATTCGTTCACCTGGCCGTCACCTGGTCCGATGCATGTACTACCTGAACTGCCGACGCCTCGTGGGACAGCGGATTGAGTTTGAACCCTGGCCTCGAATATAGCCGTGGTGTTTCAAATTCAGTAATAATAATAATATAATAATAATGAATGTTACATAACGCGAAATCCAACCACAAGGTGGATGCTCAAGCGCTCCAAAGTAAGGTTTGAGTTAATAGTACAGTGAAAGAGATGCATTGAAAGATGTGATCTGAACGCAATAAAAGATGGAAACAGTTTATAGCGAGGAACAGTCTATTCCACAGTGATGGTGCGCAACCACTGAAAGAACACTCTCAATAAGAGGCTAAGACAGTCAGTAAGAAGGCAGTGTTCATGAATGGTGTTTCAAAGTAACAGGACTTTCGGTCCTGTAAGTTTCAGATGTCTGTCTGACCCATTGAAAATTCACAGGACCCATAGAACAAAATTAAAC